AAATGCATGAAAAAAATGTTCAACATCACTGATCACTTGAGAAATGCAAATTAAAACAACACTGAGATTCCATCTCAATCCAAAAAGAATAGCTATTACCAAGAAATCAACCAATAACAAATGCTGGTGAGGCTTTGAGGCAAAAGGAACACTTCTCTACTATTGGTAGAAGAGTAAATTGGTACAACTAATATGGGTGTCAGTATGGTGATTCCTCAAAAAAACTGAAAAAAATTGGTCATTAAGTAGAAATCAGACTGATTGTTTTTAAATTTAAATACCACCATCTACTAGCTATAGATCTTTGTGTAATTATTTAAACCTATGGAAGCTTCAATTACATCATCTGCAGTGGCAGAACTATAGTAATCACTGAATGAACCTAGTGCATATAAAATGCTTCAGAAAACTTCTCATTAAATGTTAGTTATTATTTCCGTGTTTCTGATGTATTCTACAATCTTTGGCCTAAAATGGTCCCTATGTAATTTTTAAAAATACCAATGCTTCTTTCTGAGTTTCCCATTCCTAATTCTTATCTTCCCAGGAATTCACTCTTATATTACATCATTGATACCCACCAGTATGCAGAAAACTTAGATGTCTGACTTGGCCCAAATTTTCCAAGAAGCAGATGTCAAGCCTGGTTTAAATGTGCAGAAATTTATCAGGAGAAAGAGCCTGTGAAAGTAAAAGGGCAGATATCTAGAAAAGGCCAGGAGAGCCAGGCCAATATGACAGCCTGACCCAGACTGCGGAGGGTTAGGGACAGGATGTGTAAAGGGTCTCAGATGCCTGAGAGTTCTAAGGAAAGTTTGGCAAGGCTGTTGGGAGGTCCTCTGGCCCAAATTTCCTGTCAATGGAGTCCTGAGTGCCCCCCCCCCCATACGAACAGCGCTACCTTGGTACTGCTGATGTGTTCTGTCTGTGTGTAGGAGCAGCCTGGGAGGTGTCACGTACTGCTGGGTTCCAGAGCATAGCAAGCAGAGACATGGTTCAGTTACACTTCCTGCAGTCGGAGCTCTGAGAGGCCACTGTAATACTCCTGTTATTTAAAAGATGACATCTATATTCATTGTATTGCACTGTCAAAATCTTCCATAGTCCTTCTTAGCCTAACGTTTTCAACATGAAGTCATCATTTTATTATTCCTGACACAATCAGTAACTGTTTAGTGTTTTCCAAATATGCATAGGACTCTTCCACTTTAATGTGTTTTATATTGCTTTTATTTTTCTGCCTGTTTTTTCCACCCTCCCTTCATTCGTGATGTTTTTCTTTCCTTTTTAAGTCTCAGCCATCCAGTCATGCATTTTTGCCATGCCACCTCTTCCCTAATCCATCCCATTGGGTGCTATGTGGCCATCTTCTCTACATGTGTGGCATTTGCATTGTTACCAGCTGGGTTTAACTGAATCATGCAAATCCAAAATAAAAATAACTTCAACAGGAATGCAGGGTTACTGTCTGCTGTGAAAGCCCAGAAGGAGGCAGCTCAGGGCTGGTGCTTCAGCTGTGTCACATAGGCTTCGGGGAACCAGGTAGCTTTGGGCTTCCCCACCTTGCATCCTAAGCCCTTCCCTTCAGGATCAAGGATGCAGCTCCAGCCATCATATCAATGTTTGAAATGGTAGAATGGAGAACAGGGAAACAGTAGGCAGAGAGCGTCTGTTAGCAGTCTCCTAGTAATATGTTTAGGAACAGTCAGACATATTGCCTCCTACAGCCTACTGGAACTCAGTCCTGCGGTGACAGTAAGCCATAAGGATGGCTGAGAAATCCAGTCAGTTTTTGTTCTCAGTGGCTCCTTGTCCAGACAAGGGGAGAAGGGAAGAGTTCTTGATGAACAGAGGACACCTATGCACTAGACTCTGCCCAGACAGTGCATGTGATGAGACATTGTGTTTCTCATTCGGCCACAGCTTTCTCCTAGATTGAAAGCTCCTGATGACAGTTACAGACCTGTGTATGTGAGCTTGCGTTACTCCCATGTAATGCTGAGAGGGCCTCTCAGAGGACAGATGTTCAAGCTGTTTTTATGGAGTGCAGGGATGAAGAAATTACCAACATTTCTTACAGAGGGAAAAATAAACATGTCAAACTCTCCTAAATTTAAAAAGCATTCTTCACTAAAGTAATCATCAGGAAAACTTAAAGCTTTCAGGTAATTAAAAAAGAAATTAGGTATCTGCTCATTAATAAGTAATTTTAGTACTTTTACTTCTCTCTGTCAACTCCCGTAAGTTTGAATTTATGCTCTCTGACAAGTTGTTTAAGCATTTTATGTTTTTTCTGGCTCCTGCTTTTAACATATGATGGGGATGAAAATAGTAACAGTTATTACTATTATTGTCACTTTTCAAGGGATTGATACAAAGGCATCTTCTCCAAAGTAGTACTTTTTCCAGTGGCCATGCCTTGATTTTCCCTATCTTTACTATAGCTTCTTATTTTCTGTCCCCGAGTCTGTTTAAAAAGTATTTGTAGTTTTGGATATCATTTTATTAACCTGAAACCTGCATTTACTCATAATCTCCTCTTGTGTATCATCCAGATAGTATGTAGGACACAGGACCCCGAGAGTGTGTTCTTAGGTCTGATGCACATGATGGTTTGTGTGCCTTTGCAGATTATCAGTATATTCTTGAGAAATATTCCATCTAATGTTCATTTAGTCATATGCTACTATTCTGTCATTTTCTCTACATTGTTTTCCACTTACACATAATCCTGGCCAGTGATGGGTACTGTTTGACCAAATTATACTCAAGCTAAAATAAATAGCAAAGAAAGAGAAACCAAAATATCTTGGCCAGGAATGAGGCCCAGACGTTAGAAATGTTTGTGGTATTGCTGGTGCCCAAGAATACAATATGAAACCAGTATCGGGAAGTAGTTTGGGTATGTTTAGTGTGAAGGAAAGAAGATAAGCAAAATATTGGAACTTTGAGAAGGCAAAACAAGTGGACATTTTTCCTGAGTCATAGATCTCATTTTAAAATATCTGCTGCTACAAGTCTTTGTACAAGTCTATTTCTTCAGTTAGTGATATTACAGTTAAGATGGGCACATTCTTTCTCTTGAAGTTGGTGCCATAACCTGACCCTCTGCCAAACTCATCCCCACCCCCAGAGAACACAGGGAGTTTTCTGATGAAAACATGTGCCCTATCCTGTTTCCCCTCCCAGAACTGACAGTGTGCCCTCTGACATTAGCTTTATACTTGTTGCTCAACCCAGTAAACAGAAGACTGGAAAAACTGGTGAAAATATTGTTCGTTCAAAAATTTGAGGAAGATGAGGTTTTTTTAATTCAATAAGTATATTGGTACATTTTAGGTATGCAATATGATGACATTCATCATTGGGAATTTGTACCTGTACATAATAAATATATCTTGATTCTTATTATTTTCCCCATTCCCTTGCCCTCCCTTCAACCTCTGCACCCCTTCCTATTTACAAAGACTTTGTTTCCATTTTTTCTTTTCTCATTTTTTCCTTTCCCTTCTTTCCTTTCTCCCATCCCCACTTCCCCTTCCCCTTCCCCTCTGGACCTTTTCTTCCTATTTCACGTTATCTGTTATACATTTTGATCCTCATTTACACTTTCAGTTTCTCACACCAAGGAAACTATTTGGTATTTACACGTGTGTCCTGTTTATTTCACTTAAGAGTATGGCCTCAAGGGCTGGGGTTTTAGCTCAGTGGTTCCGCCACCTGCCTCGAAAGTGCAAGGTCCTGAGTTCGATCCCTGGTACCAAAAAAAACCCTGAAGAGTATGGCCTCAAGGTCCATCCATTTAGCTATAAATGTCTCTATTTCACATTCTTTATGGCTGAGTAGTACTCCATTTTAAAATTTAAAAACAGTGTCATAAAAGATCTCAAAGTAGAAAAAATAATGTAGAGATGAAACTTAAATCATAGGGACTATGTTAAGGAAAAGGAGGAAAGAAAAAGACAGGGAACATGGAAAAAGACTCCCCTAGAGAAAAGAGCTTAGTAAAAATGTTCTAGGCCCGCTTTGTAATTCCTCTAGTCACAGAATGTGTTCAGGGTTGTTGTAATGCATAGATATACATAAAATAAATAATTGAGGAAGGAGAAGTGCTAGACCTTAGTGATTCTGTAATCTGATGAGAAAATAAGAATGGAGAGATATTCAATGAATTTCACATTAAATGACATTTACAAAGGTACAGATTGAGTATCCCTTATTTGAAATGCGTGGGGTTGGAAGTGTCATAGATTTTTTTATTTTTTTTTATGTTGTAATATTCACATAAACATAATGAGATATTTTGGGGATGGGACCCACATCTGAACACAAAATTCATTTATGTTTCATATACACCTCACACATAGAGCCTGAAAGTAATTTTATGCAATACTTTTAGCATGCCTTATTTCAGTTGCACCTCTCTGTAAAAGGGAAGGTGTAGAATTCTCTACTTGAGGCTTCATGTTAGTGTTAGTGTTCAAAAGTTTTGGATTTTGGATCTTTTCGTATCTTCAGATTATTCATTTTTATGTTATAGATGCTTAACCTATAATAAGATTACTAATGACATTTTTGTTTTAGATAGCTTAAAAATTGTGAGATTTTTGTCTTTTCAAAACATTTAAATTATAGTAACTACCAAAGTTGTAAGTCATCAGATGCATTTAAAGGTTCATGGTGCTGCATGCCTGTAATCCTAGCTACCTGGGAGGCTGATGCAGGAAGATCAAGAATTGCTTTGCCTGGGGAACTAAATGACTTAATGAGACCCTATCTCAAAATAAAAGTTTTTTTAAAGGCTGTGAAGGTAGCTCAGTGCCAGGCCCCTGGGTTCAATCCTCAGTATTAGAAAGCAAAACAAAGCTGTGTTTTCCAACTATGATACAGTTTTTATGCTATAAGTTAAGACTGGTGTTCTTTCTTTTTCATCATTTATTTAACTGTTTGCTTGAGTTTACTCGTTGCACAGAAGGAACTCATATCTGTTGTTTCCACAGGGAATGTGATGCAAACAACATCAATTACATGTATGCTCAGTATGTCAAAAACACTATGGAACCACTTAATATCCCAGATGTCAGCAAGGACAAAAGGTTTCTCTGGACAGTAAGTAACCCGATTTGGGCCTTGGAGCTGAAAGGCTGTTTTCCCATCAGACCTGTACATACAGCTGCTCTGCAGCTGAAGGACCAGCTCTAGAAATGATGACTGGGGGCAATCTGTGCTTTCCTGATCTAATGAAGGGGAATAGAATAGCTAATAACATGCTGTTGGGAGCTACAATTGAGTATTTTTCTCTGTACTTCTTCCAGTTTTTAAATGTGTATTAATCAACTATTATATACCAGTTGTGAAATAACTTAACTATTACCTACATAATGTCTTTGGCAGTCCTTCAATAGTATTGCTGGAGTTTTTTATTTTATCTAAAAAATTAAGTTTCATTTGGTTTGAACTTACATATCTACCATAGTGACTGTGAGAAAATGGGTAGCTGTTTTCCTTCATAGTGAAACAATGAAGATGTCTTCCTCAGACCCTGAAAACACAGAATTCTAGTATTTTCCTTCATCTTATTTCAGAAAAGCATTGCTCTTTGAAGCAGCTGCCTTGATCTTGCTCTTGCATATCAGGGCACCTTTTTCCCACTTTGCCAGTGTGGGCAGCAGACCCAGTGGTATTACCAAAGAAGAACAGGTTTGTTGTACATAGTTTCCTAGGTGGCTTGATGCTTTTGGATTCTGCCAGTTTTGTTAAATAGAAGCATCTACTTCACTGTTATAGTAGATACTGAATAAATATTTTCACTGAATATTACTATAAGCTACTTGGGAAGTTTAAAATAAAAAAAAATCTGGAATATTATTTTTAATAAAGTAGGCTGATTGCTTCATATTGTGCTTACATGAACTAACTTATGATTTGGTCATTTTCTATACTCCTATTTTATATCTAACTAACAAGAGGCGAAGATATTAGGTTCAGATGTACCATATAGATAATATGGCATCTAGACAAATCAGTGTCTATCTTTTTAGCTGTTTTGTTTTTGTTTTTGTTTAGAATGAAAACATGGGAAATGTAAACCAGCAGTGCATTAGAAGTTTGCTTTGTACACCTATAAAAAATGGAAAGAAGAATAAAGTCATAGGTAAAGCCTTTCCATTGACCTATACTCGGTGCTTACTTCAAAACAACGTATCTCCAGATACTTCTTTCTCTCAAATGTAATTTTAAAGAATAAAATGTATGAGAAAAAATGAAAATAGAATGATAAAAGAATTTTGACATAATTTTGTGTTGATAAAGCCAGCTGACATTTGTTAGAATATTATTTTTGTATTTGCACTGTGTATTTTATCATTATTATAATTCAATTTCACAAGAATTTTGTAAAAGTGATAGGTTTTAATTGAGTAGATGAAATGAGACATCAAGTTGATAATGTGCTTCAGTGTCTTCCTTTTTTTAATTGTTTTTAAATATGTGGTTTCGAATATCACATTCATTTATTCATTCAGTAAATATTTATTGACTGCACTGCTTTAGGCACTTGGGATAAATCAGTGAGCAAAGTAAAAGTCCCTGCCCTCAAGATCTTACATGTTTATATCCAGGTTAGAGAAAAACATTAACTTCAGGAATGGTGGAATAATACAATCTCAAAAAATGGAATGTGTCTTAGTTACTTTTCTTTCATTGCTGAGACAAAATACCCAACAATCAAAATTAAAGGGGAAAAGATTTATTTAGCACATAGTTTGTAGAGGGTTCAGTCCATAATCAGCTGGCACCACGGAAGGGTAACAGGGGAGCAATGGTTCATAGCAATAGAAGACAGCAAAAGCAACAAAAGAACTTAATAGCATCTTTCTGCCCCTTATATCCTATACAGATTACTTAGGGTGGGTAGCATTCACACCCTCAATCCTAGAGCCCTTGAGCCTAGCATTGTACTAGGCATGAGGCTTTGGGGGATATCAAGACACATAACAGAAGGTTTCCAATTATCAGTATATTTGTAAGGCAGGACATATGTGATTGTGAAAATAAGTCTAACCTGTTTATGTTCTCCCAAGAACCTGGAAGTAAAGAAAAGATAAGTGCCTTCTAAAGATTGTAATTTGTCTATGCACAGTGGTGGACACCTGTAGTCCCAGCACTGTGGAGACTGAGACAGGAGGATCACCTCAAGTTCAAGGCCATCCTGGGATACATAGTGAGGTTAAGCCTGGCCTAAACTACATAGCAAGACCCTGTCTCCAAAAACAAAATCCCTAAAGATTAAATTTTAAAAGTAAAACTCTAACGAAGCAACACTTAGCTATATAAAATTACATTAAAAGGTCTGAATAGTTTTCAGGTGAGAAGATTTGGCTGATTTTACTAAAGAAGAGTATCAGATAGAGGAAAGGACAAGTAATATCATTTATGAAAAATTTTTTTTCAATGTGTAACTTTATTATCATTCACTAAACACACATATATACAAAAATTAAAATTATTCAAAGGAAAGCAATGCAAGGGAAAAAACTAATAACATTCAAATGTATAGAACTCAACCAAAGCAAAACTGAGAAGTACTTGAACATTTTTCCATATAATTTAAAAAAAAAATCTCAAGCATTAACAAGACATCAAAGGATGTAATTTGTTTTAGAAAGATTTTCAAAACTAATATTGAACAAATAGTGGTCTGGAAAAAAGTTCTAATTAGCTAGTAGACTCCACATAGGCAAATTTTTTTAAATTTAAATTTCAATACAGTCATGTGACACGTGGTGGAACTATAATCCGAGATATGTTATTAGGCAATTTCATCCGTGTGTATCACAAAGTACCACACAGAGTGCCAACTTCTAAGTACAAACTGAGAAGGTATACATCAATCATCTGTGATGGCCCCTTGATATTATCCAAATATGCAGTTAAACACAAGATGCATGAGGCTGCCATTGGAATAGCAGCACACTTTTACAGTAAACTCTTTTACATAAGGAGGATTATGCTCTAAAGGATGAAAAGCACAGCATGTTATGATAAGTACATAAAACAGTAACAGTCATTAATCATACTATCAAGTACTGTGTACTGTACATAGTTGTATGTGCTTCTTCTGGAAATGTACCCTTCTCTCATTTGATCTCAGTGACTCTTCCTTCCCAACCTACTGATGAGATCCAGCCTAGCCTCTATCTAATCTCTTCCTATACTTTTATTTATTTATTTATTTACTTATTTATTTATTTTTTGTATTAAATTCTTTTGTTGGTACATTATAGGTATACAACACAATTACATTTCTCATTGGGAATTGTACCTTTACATAATGCATCTTGGTTCTTATTTTTTCCCCATTCCTA